GGACACTCTGGGACTCGAACGCAAAACCGTTCCCTTGAAGCGCCATCACATTATCTACTTACCTACTGGGCCATGATAGTCACTAGCTTGTGCAATGGGATGAAGTTTAATTTCACTTGGTATTGTTTGTTTGAATCAGTCCACTGAGTTCGAGTCCCAGAGTGAATATCAACTCTGAGATGTAGGTACATCCAGCTGATGTGTCTCAATTGGAACGAGGTGCGCATAAAGTTGGAACCCACTGCTAGTCACTATACATCTTAGCAATATAATGCTTGTGAATTATGGCAATATCGAGGCAATACGCATAGTATGTACATATACCAATAAGAGGCTGACCGATTGCACTCCTAAACATCAATGGAAAGATTCAAGTAAAACAATATCAAGTGAATTAAGAACTCGAATATACTTGCTATCTACGTTTACAGATAACAGTGATATTCTCATTATATCTGGATATACATCTCGACCTATAACAATTGTAAATGGAATTATTAACTACTTATAATTGTAGATTACTAGACTAAAAGAAACCTGACCATTCCAATTCTTGACAATTTAAGTAATGTCCAGTATATATTACTTCCGTGTATAGATTATATTCAATATATTAATACATTAATTTTTGGATATAATAACTTTATTATTATTTTTGGAACTGTTCTATTCATGATCCACCACAATTCACTAAACTGACTAAATATACATTTCTATATTATTGGTTGAAACATTAATCACTATTTAACTTGTTCAAAGAAATTAGAACGAAAACCTTTAATTGAAATGAATAGGGTTACATATTAATCTGTAAACCTTAAGACCATTGAATCGATTCTGATTCTTGTTGTTGTTGTTGTTGTTGTTGTTGTTGTTGTTCTTCTTCTTCTTCTTCTTCTTCTTCTTTTTCTCCTTCTTCTTCAAATTTGACCAGTGAAGATTTGTAACGTAAACTAGTAAAACGTTTATCTTCATTCCTTAACAAAATTTATACCAAAGATTAATAAATGGATGTATATTCTAGTTTATCTCTTATTTTCTTCTCAAATAAATAACAGTTAATAACTAAAACAAATTTTATTACCATGGTTATTTTCATTGTGATATTAATTTGAATTCATTGGAATATTTTCTTCTTCCTAAATCATAAGTTTTCTTCTTGTTCTATAATCTATTCTATCTCCCACCCTCCTCCCTCCTCCCTTCCTTACTCTCTCTCCATATATATATATAACCCTTCTAGTAGTATGTATTATAACTGTAAATAGAAATATCGCCTACATTCACATAAAACGTTCTTATTTTACAAATGTTTTGTTATAATAGTTTCTGTTAGAGATTGAATATTTAAGAGTGTTGAGGATTAAGTGAGTTATTAATAAAATGAAAATCAAATGGTTTGTAGTGTCGGTTGTTTTGTTAAGCCCACACAGCTTATCCTAGCTTTTGGACAGAATAGTTTATTCACTCTTCTTGAGTCACATTTTGTCCTTGTTGATTATTCGCTTATCAACCTTGACTGTTTTTATATGAGTGTGTGTGTGTGTGTGCATTTATTATCCTATTCGTCACATGCCTGTAGCTTAATTTTGTATGACTATAAATACTGATTAACGCTTGATTAAACCTAGTTGATTGATACTCCTTCGCCACCACGCGTCATTTCGCTCCGCTCTCTTCACTTCACGTTCTTCTCTTCGTTCCTTTGATCGTCTGTCTGGATCAATGATTGTATGAAATATGAATATTCAAGCATCCATTCTCGTATTTGACCTATTTAATTCCGTCATTCACCAGCTGGAGTTAAGTCGATGATTATATACGAGGATTGACGATATGTATATTTCGATAGCAATTATTCGATAACAATCATTCGTACTATCTACCTAGATTCAGAAGCGTAAAATACACAAAAAGCAGTGGCATTATATTAGAGTGTAGCATTATTGACGAAAGATATTCCCCATCATTGATTGATCTTATAAACTTAAAGTTTTATTAATAAGTAATATAGATACGATTAAATTAAACAAATAAGCCTTATATTTATTGTTAAATGTTTCCTTCACTATTTACTTAATCTGTTTATATTACTAATGAGTAACCACTACATGACTAAACAATATTTAAATAACCAGTTTGACGGAAATCGGTTACCGACCATATGAAAGACATTATCTCAGAAACTGAGATATTAATAATTTCAAATTTTCATCCAGCAATCTTGTTTGAAATTCTTTAGGGCAATGATCAAAATCAAAATTATCATAGAATCTATAATGTTTAACATTCAAATCTACACTATACGTTTATTCAATCATATTCAGATGCTGATTTTAGTAGGTATAATAATGAATCAGTAAGATGTAAATACTTTCATAGTACGAAAGAGAAAGTATCTTTGTATATGTACCTTATTATTACTATTGGATAATGTTTAATGAATAAATTTAGTAATTTCAATAGTTGAGATCATGAGTCAATTGAAGATAGGGCACCATGGAAAATCTGGAAGCACTGGATGGCCGTTTTGTCCTATTGTGGGACTCCTCAGCAGTGCGCATCTGTGGCCTCGCCTCGCAAGATTCGAACCCAGAACTTATCAGTCTTGCGCGCGAACGCTTAACCTCTAAACCACTAAGCTGTCATCCAGCGGTGTTAATGGTTAACTTCAACTAATCTACGAAATTGAGCTACACTTTCACCATTTTCATCAATGAGTTACTATCTCACAACAGACCCGTTTGAACTCCACCGGTCACTCTATGCAATTTATTCAAAAAACGTATGTTCTTAAGTAACTGAAATTAATTAACATGTTACCATGATCTGGGGTTTTTTCAATTTCAGTTGATATTTATTATTCAGACAACTTTTGACAGATATAAGTTATTTTTGAGTAGTGAACTATCTAACAGAGTCATAAGGAATTAATTTCAGTATATGAAAGCCTATTTAGATATTTGAAGATCTTCACTTATATTTTGTTGGCGATCACAAGAAGAACCTAGAACTAGTTTTAGTAATAACCTGTTATTCAGGTCAACAACACTCAGTTCAATGTATACACATGAAGTGTTGATAGGATCAATCAGCGTTATTGATACACATGAATATACTTGAGGGAATCTGAGATTTTGAAAAATAGAAAAAAATCAGATGATTTCTCATTGTTCATAACATTTCTCTTGAAAGTAGACGTGCATAAGCTCCAGGTTTTTGACCATAAATGTCTTTAAAGCATTGCTCTTGTATCATGGAACGACCGGGAGTATAAAGTTGAACTTAAACATGGTTTACTGGGCAAAGCTGACAATTTAGTCGATAAGGCAGTGAATCTTCATCATTTGAGGTGGTATGATGCTTACCTAACCACAGTCAACCTCGACGCACTTCCTTAGCTGGTATAGGAGTAGGTCAGGAAAACACTGGAGGAGACCATGTCCTAAAGTGATATTAGTCCAAGAAATTATGGATTTTCGGTCAGAGAAATGTTACCAGATTAGGTTTACTTAGATGATTTCCGAAAGATAATCTCAGTCAGTGGTTGGAAACGTTGTGTGATGTAACCTATAATCAATCACAATGCCACAGGTACACTTGATCTCCTTATAAAACAAAAGTCCCAATATTCCTTATCTTGAACAGTGCTTTTCTAACTTTGTTCTCAATATTTAGTCTTTCTCATAACAATAGCTACTAAATTATTACGACCCGTTTGATGTTTGTCTTGTGAATCTCATTTAGTCTTACTAATATATCATGTCAACCTGTACTGATACACATTTGCGCCAAGGCTCTACTTTGTTTATAACTGATGACTGACTGAATACAAGATGTTAATTCGGGTAGTTTTGATATGATTAGTAGTAGGATTTATATTCAAAGTAAAAAGTTTATTTTATATTAGCTAAGCTTCATAGTGTTTATGACAAACAGTCAATTTTGTAGCCAATATCATTTAAGATGAAATATGAAGTTCATTCATTCTGTTTGTTAATAACTTGACTTTGATATCCCTAAACTTATTGCAGTAATAATGACAATTCTACTGCCTACTCAAGACTACCTACTACGTATCCAAGTGAAACATACCATATTCTAAAAAAAAAGTGATTTATTAACAAAATATTTATCTGTTAAATGATTGGAATAAATTGATAAAATCATTATAAATTGCTCAAATGTTTCTTTCAGACTTATTGATTAGATAATTGATTAATTAAAAATTGATTAAAAAGAGTCAGTAATTAAACTGTACTTTTTGCCAGAACCAAAATAAAGGAAACAAAAAGACATGTGAAAAATGCACTGCATAAGAAAAGGAATAAATGACAAAATGATTGCATCAAACAAACAAAAAATATACAATTAAAGGGAATAGATCAGTATAGTTCATTTGTCTATTATATTATTACATAATATATACATATTGGATATATTCTAATTGTTGTTTGTATAAAATATGTTACCCTATTGTATTAATGCCTGTTTGTTCATTTTCTTCCCATATTTCTCATTGGTAAAATATAATGATGATAATGAGTAGGTGGATGAATAGAACGTGAGAGTGAGAGCGTGCGCGTGAGAGAGAAAGAGTATTAAATAACTAATAATATCGAGTAAACAAATAGATTTGTTTATATGTAATATCACTTCATCTATATATACATTCTGTGCGTTCGTATTCTTTTAAGTGTAGGCGAAATAGATAGAACTAACAACTTATCATTTAACTAACTATCTAAAGCTTAGAGAAACAATATTATAAAATAAATAAAGAAAATAAAGAAAAAATAGAAAACAAAAAAAAAATTTCAGAAGAAGACTGAAAAAAAATTAATCGATTGTACTCATATATGGTTAATATTTTGTTTTCTGTCTCATATTTTCTCTTCAATCATCTAATATGTTAAATACATTATATAATTAAATTCATTATCATTATCATTGATATTACTGTCAAGGTCATCATAATTATTCATTACAATAATAATAATAATAATAATAATAATAATAATAAACTTTAATGATTTTGTCAAAACAGAAATGTTTTATTACATCTCATACATGAATTATCCATTAGAGTAACCAATGGGAGAATTTTTTTTGAAAATGTTTATAAATATGATGATTAGCATTATTATTATTATTCGTCTAAATGTATGCTCATTTACTTCATAATAACAATAATCATAACAATAATATTTAGATTATATTACAGAATCTCATAACTACACCCTAAACTATCAATATAAATAACAAATATCAGCAGTTTGTAAATTCAAAGGAATGAATTAGCATTATTTTTTTTTGTTGCCAAATGGATATAACTCGACTATCATAAACTCCCTCACACCCCCAAAGAAAAACATAGACTCTACAAAAATATCTTCTTTTGTTTTGTTTTTTTAAATACAGTCTGTACATTGATTACATAATCTAAGCAACAACTATACATCATTACTGCTATTATCATCATCATCACCATCACCATCATCATCATCAGTATTTCATTTTGTTTTTTGTTTGTACTTAATTCTTTGGATGATATAATTTGTTAAAATAATGATGAATATATCATTATTATTATTGATTAATTATAAGCCAATTATTCTATTATATAATGAATTTTCAATGAAATCTGTGGAGACTACATGAAATAGTTTGTATGATTATGCAATGAAAATTCATACTCTTCATTTTTCACCATTTACATGTAAATATATATATATATATATATTTATTCATAAATTATCCCATTCTTATATGCATATATAAAGAGAGATAGATAGAGAGATAACTATATAAAAAAAAATGGATAATATACCAGATCTATCACATTTAACTCCAGAAGAAAGAAAAATTATTGAAGATGTAATGAATAGACAAAAACAAGAAGAGGCTAAAGATTCACAACTAGTTAGGTATGTGTTATATATATCTATGTTATATATTATCAAACTATATGAATTATTTAAAATTTCCTATGAAATTAGTAACATAATGGATTAAAATAATGAATTTTATAATTGATGGATTATAATATAAGTAAAGATGAATGATAGCTAGAAATGGAATCTAGAAGATGCGTTTCATTCTATTCGGATATATATGTATCCCAAAGTTGATGTTCATTGCTGAACTCAAACCCAATATCTTTCACCTCAATCACTATCGTGTAATCCACTTAGCTACTTGGCTGTGATAGCCACTAGCTTTTGCAATGGAGTGAAGCCGAAATTCATTTTGTATTGTTTGTTTGTATCTTTGCATTGATGTTTAGGACTACAATTGATTGGTACATATGCTAATAAGAGACTGATCAATTACAGTCCTAAACACCAACGGGAAAATTCAAACATATAATACAAAATGAATTGTTGGATTAATAATTTGAACTCAGTTACCATTATATCATTTTGAGTATTCAAGGTTAATATCAGTGGTTCTCATGTGAAAAACAATTAATAAGCCAAGTTTAAGAGTTTGCAACACATAACGGTGTTAGAAGCACTCATAAGTAACCCTATCTATTTACATAAAGTGAAATAATTTGAAGAAAATATTCTCTTTACAAGGAAATTGTGCTTACATTCGTAGTGACCAACAGATTTGTAATAAGCTTACTTGGTTAGTGTTTTCTTAGCAAGGTTGTTTTTTATGGGATGAAGTTGCCTATCTCACGCTCAACCCTCTTCCTTTACCCGAGCTTGAGACTGGTTAGATAACATCATATGAACAAATTAAACCGCTTTTAAAAATACAACTATCCGGGAGAAAATGTTTCTTCGATGTTGGATCAGTACATAGAGTTATTCAATTATGTTTAATAGAATAAACTAGATGTGTTGTGTTTTGTTTTATGCCAATTTGAGACCATTTTTCTTAAGGAAGTAATCTGTGAATTTCTATGTTTGATTGAATGCGAATAGTTGCATAATTATAAATTTAAAGAATTATTCAAAACATAAATAAATAATATATTTGTAATATCCCAATGAGTAGAAAATTAGATTTTCTGACGTTTCATGACTTAGTGTAAGTCACCTCTTCAGAGAATAAATAACCAAATTAAAACTAATTGTTCCGTTGTACTATTTAAACTTGGATTAATTTCAATTTGGTTATTTATTCTCTGAAGAAGTGACTTACACTAAGTCACGAAACGTCAGAAAATCTAATTTTCTACTCATTGGGATATTACAAATAAATTATTTATTTATAACAATCAACCCAATGCTCAATTTGTTCGAAATTATCAAATCAAACCTTAGTAATGATACCTACTAATTATTCAAAACATCTATGAAATATTTTCAAGACCAAAATTTTTATGATTGATCCATCAAATAGTAACTTGAACGTTTTTAAGATGAAATAGTTTGTTAAGAAGTAATATAAACCATACATCGCTGAATTATTCGTCTTTTTTTTAGATCACTCAGTAGTTTAATAGGTAACACCATGAACGACCTTTGAGCAACACCAAAGTGACCTTGAAAATGTCCACCTACTAACTGAGACTAAATGAGAGTTCCAAACCGGTATGAGGAACTAGAATTATGATTTACAATCGATGGTTAATGTTAGAGATTAGATTTAAGGTTTTCATCACAAACTGATATCAGCTATAATGCCAAAGAGCTATTTAGCCAGATGTATGAATGAATTTCGCATCAAACTCCAAGACTTGTCATCTTATATTTGATTGTTTCGTTCACAAATTATAGTCTTGCTATTGAAAAGTTTTAAATAAAATGTAATACACATCCTTGTTTCTATTGTTAGCCATTACTCAAAATATAGCTTTTAAATGCAGCATTATTATGTTTTTCGTTTAGTAATTTTAATTTGTTTTGACTGAACGAAAACTGATATAACTCGATGCAAAAGAGAGGGCATAGATGCGAGATGAAAATTTACTGAAGACCAAAAGTAGATCTAAGCTACATCTGAATATATTGATTATTGTATTTTATTTGCAGTGATTAACAGTTAAATTTTATATCTATCTTCAATCATTGGTTCCAGGTGTTCTTTGGTCTGCCTCTTATGATTTTTCTTGGGGATTTCATGTCAGGGCGTGCCTTGTGATGTTCGTGCAAACAAAGATGAAGAGAGAGTCCGCTTTGTCCGATGTACTGTTTTTCTTAGTTGGAACAATTTATTTTCTAAATGAAGTTCGATTTTTCTTATTTTGTCATTTTGTCCTTCAGTTCGCATAGGATTGACTGAAATAATTTTTCTGGTTGGTATGCTCTATGTATTCCAAACGGCTTCAACAATTTCGTTGTAGTTTTTAATATCGCCTTTTACGTATGGTAGGGTGATCCGATTGTTGGTTTCTGTACTTGATTTTGTTTCTGCTGACTCGTTTGGTTGGTATTATTTTGCTGTTGATTGGGTAGCCGTTCTTTTGAAAGATAGTCTTTAGATATTTTCCCTCACTTTTCCGAGCTGCAAGTGTGTTGCAGGTGTCTTTACCCTCTTGAAAAAAGTTTGTACTCAGTTAATTTTGTGTGCTATTGGGTTGTTGTTACTGTAATTGAGAATTCGATGTGTGTAGGTCAGCTTCCGATATACTTGAGTCTCCAGTGTTTCCTGTGTCGATTTTGGTAATTAATATATCCAAGAACGGTAGTTTGTTGTTTGACTCCTGTTCCATCGTAAACTTGATGTCGTAAAAGGCGTTGCTGATCAGATTGTAGGTTTTTACTAGCTTCCTGGTTTTCAGATAAGTTCATTTTGTGAAGTAAATAACATATTAAACAACCTACACTAAAACTTTTACCAATCATTTTTTTCACTCATGATTGAATTTGAAAGGTAGTTCTTAGGTTCTGGAGAGAAACCATAATAAATGGTGTTCAACCGTTTCATACGCTAGGAAAGTGTTCCTCACCAATAATTTTTTTTACAGCAGTACGAATTGATTGAATCACTGGGTTCCGGCTCAGTGTCTTGAGGACACATTGCTTGCTGCAAAACATAAATGTCCAGAATGAGGTCATTTATCCTAAGTGGTGAAGAATCTTAAACTAGGGGAAGAAAGCTGTCCAGTATCCTATAATGTTTGACAACTCTAGCTGGTATAACTTCCCATCAAATAGTTACACCGAAAATAAATACTATTAAAATTAACTAAATTTTTCATTATCCTCAAATTAAGAAACGACAGTTTCATACTTTTACTCATCATCAATGTACTGAAATATTGACTTAAATACTTATTGTTTTCTAATAAATATACTATTTGTCATATCCCAATGAGTAGAATATTGTATTTCTGACGTTTCGTGACTGAATGTAAGTCATTGCTTTAGTGTAAATAAAAATTGTTCTATGTTTATTTATACTTTTTTACGATCCCTAAGATTTGTTTCGAGTTTTATCAGCTATAATAATTTGTCTGGAAGAAAAAAAGTTGAATGATAATGACTATTTAGACAAATGAATAGTGACTAATTTCATTGTTAGTATAGGGTTGTGGAGATTATTAAGTTTTTGAATGAGATCATGAACCGATTGATGTTAGACCACCAGGTTTTCAATGGCGGTCTAACATCAACCGATTCATGATCTCAATCAAAAACAATTTCATTATGTCTAAGCTTAAATAATTGTCGAATTTCATGAGACAAGTTTACAAGAACAAATTATCCATTTTGCTTAATGATTAATTGACACAGGGTGACATAGATCGACAAGTATTGATTTATTCAAAATTTATAACCTTCTAGTACATAACAAATACGAATAAATCAACGTGTTTCTTTTCGAAACACTCAATTATTTGATATATATAAATAATTCAATAACCAATCATTTGCCTGATCTTGTTATTGGACGCTCGGAGAAAATAAGTGAAAATCCTTAAGTCTAAGTTTGTTTGCATTCAGTAGTGATATATATCTAACTTTAAAAATACGCTTCAGTCAACACTAGAGGCAAGGATAAATAATTAAAATATATAGTAAGCAGAAAAATAATCATGGTTAAACGTAGCTATAGCCACAATGCTCCAATAAAGATTTATTTATGAACAAAATGGGTAGCATTTATGAAGTCTTCAGTTCAAGTCTTCTTGTTTTAGTGAAATTTAATAACTCACTGTTATAATGAGAATGTTTACAGCACAATGTTGAAAACATTGTACTTTTTCTCTCATAGAGGTAAACATCATCCTAAACTATCGCGAAGTATGATTCATTGTAAAAGAGAACTCATTTGTTATTAGTGAAATAATTACTATAATGTTCCTATGAATAGTCTGTTTAAACCACATATAACTCCGTTTAGTCTCATTTTCAAACCTAATGTACTTCTAGTGAGAAAAGCAAACAGACTAAATACAATAATACACTTACTTACTTACTTACTTGGGCTTGTTACTCCTCGTGAAGCAACATAGGCCGTTCATCAGCATTTTCTATCCAACCCTGTTCTGGGCAATCCTTTCCAGCTCTTTCCAGTTATTATTCATCCCTTTCATATCTGCTTCCATTTCCCGACGTAATGTGTTCCTTGGCCTTCGTCTTTTCCGCTTTCCTTCAGGATTCCAAGTTAGGGCTTGCCTCGTGATTCTGTTTGAGAATTTGCGTAATGTATGGCGGATCCATTTTCATCGTCTTTTCCTAATTTCCTCTTCAGCTGGAAACTGGTTTGTTCACTCCCACAGAAGGCTGTTGCTGATGGTATCCGGCCAATGTATTTTGAGTATCTTGCGTAGACAGCTATTTGTAAATGCTTTCGTCTACTTAATGGTGGTTGTTGTGTGGTGTGTGCCAATTATGTAGACATAGGTAGCATATGATGTGAGTCGTGAACAGAATGTCTGGCAGCAGAGAGACGAGAAGATCGAACAGCAAAGAATGAAGACAGAATGCAATTTGTGTGAAAATGCAAGAACAAAGGAAGTCTGAGT